GTGGAGGTGGGCGGCCCTTGTCCAGCCGGGCCCCTGCGGCTGGACGGCGGCGCTCGGCGCGGGAAGGCCTCCCCGGTGGCCTCTCATGGTTGCAGCTCGGCGGTTCCGTGCGCCCTCCTCCTCGGCAGCGGGCGGTGGCCGGCGCTCTCTTGCGGATCTGGGCATTCGGCCTCGGGGGCTCCTCCTCCTCCTCCTTCCCCCGGCCATCTGGGCTCGGTTCCCCTTGAGGCTGTGGTCGCCGACGGTTCTGAGGTGGTTGGGCTCATGGATCTTGTCCAAGACGTGACCTTTGAGGCTTCTCGGGGTGGTCCGGTGGCGGGGCGGCGGCCCTGGCGGTGGGAGTCGCGTCGGTCGTAGGCGGACTGCGCGACTCGGATGCGGGCGTGCAACCACGGTCGCTTGGGTGGCATGGTTGCAGGTGGTTGGCCGACCGGGGATGCAACGGAAGGGTGGAGCACCGGGGTTCATCACTTACCTGTCCGTACACGGGTCGAAGGTGGCGGCGTCCGCGGATGTCGTGTTCCTCCCTGTAGGCTCCGTCGTGGTGCTCTCACTCCTCCCGTCGTGTTCCGGGTGAAAACTTGATCTTTGGATCGGACGATGGCGACGGTCCGTGGTCGTGCCCTTCTTGGAGGCATCGTCTTGGAACCCTCGGTCCGGCGTGGTCCGTTGCACTTCTTCCGGACGATCTCTCATCTTGTTGGTGGTCTCCGTCGGCTACAAGCGGTTCTTTTTGCTCATTTCTGTTGATTCTTGGTAGTCGTTGAAGTTGTGTGTCGGTGCCCGGCATTCTTGTTTCTTGCCTTGGGTTGTGTGGCGTGCGTTTGTATCGGTTTTTGGATGTAAGTGTTGGTGCTTTATTTATAAAGCGGGGGGAAACCCTTTTTTCGGAAATGGGATGAGGAGGCCAGATCCAACGGCTGCACCTGGTCGATCGTACGGTGCGCAGGTTCACCGAGGCCGCTTGCCGGTCGACCGACGCAGACCATCGGCCAACATAGAAATAGGAACTCATGTCACTGGACGGCCCACTTCTCAGTGACAGCAAATTAAGTTTGGAAGGAATCAAATATCTTCAGTCCACGCAGTGGACGACGCAGGCGACGAGACCGAGAGCAGAGGACGGCCCATCACCAGGCAAAAGAGAATCCGAGACCGCCCCCTCCCTCGCAGTAAAAAATCCACTACCGCCGTCGCCACGCACACCCACTTCTCCCTTCACCACGGGGACGCCTTCCTTCCTCC